CTCTTGGTCAACCAAGGCAGTGTACGAAAATGGAATTGCTTCTAGTCGCCTTATTCAGCTACCGACAGGGTTGGTTTAGGTCTCCTGAAGTAGAGCTAGCAGTAAGCTTTCCGTTAATTCCAAAAACCTTGATGAAGGTAGAAAAGTGGTGCACTCGTAGGCGAACGACAAGGCTGAAACAGCCAGAATCGAAAACCGGCGTTAGACGTTGATCCGTTAATAGTAGCCTCGAGAGAGTTCACGAAATGGGTAGACCTGATCGAGCCCGATTGAATGAGTGTACCCAGGCCAATGTGCGAAATGATTTGAATCCGAAAACTTGAAAAGTCAGGAGCAACGAAAATTTCCCGACCAGCACGACCCAGCACAACGTTATTGTAGATTGTATATGCCGTTTCCAATATGTGAATTCGGGTTCGCGGAGCAGATGGAAGTGGCGCGCAGTTGTAATCAGCGGAGGATTTGCGCACATACTTGTTTAGATTCAGATGCTTAGTGCTTACCGATTGAAAAAGACGAATGTATGGACAATGGCATGGGAAAAAATAAGAAGGTTCCGTTCTTTTTTATGGCACGGTGGCGGAAATGTGTTGCTCACCTTCAGCTAATGTGCTATGATGATGTTGAATTATCTTGTCTTTTTCCAGTGATTTCCATGGTTTTGTTTGGCTTTGTCTATTCGGAAGGCTGTTGCTAATATATATATATATGTATATGTATATATATATATATATATATATATATATATATATATTCAACACTATACCAATTACAATATAATTGGCTGAGTGCCACAACACATAAAAAGAAAAAAAGGATAGCGTGAAAGGGCAAACAACTGTTAGGGTAGAAGAGTCTCGTAGCAAGTGCGCCATTGCGTACGGTCCTTAGCTTTATCCTTCAGCGTTTTCAATCAGGTGTGCATGGGGTCCTTTAGGCACCCACCCTGGCGTCGGGAATGCCCGACAACAGCCGGCTTCAGGGTTTGCGCCTAAACGCATTGGATCCAAGTTTTACATTGCCCTCCTTTTCGTTTCTTCCAAGCCACGCCTGTGCTTGCAAATATAGCTCGTCTTGGTAGCCGCTGGGTAGGCATGCGAAGCACATGACCAGGCCAGCGAAGCCTCTGCAGTGAGATGATGCTATCAGTCGATCGGCGGAGTTTGTTAGATCTGAAGACTCGCTGACAGGTTTCCTCATTACTGCTGTGATGTTGCCATCGCACACCAGCAATGCTTCGCAGGCAGCGGTGATCGAAGACAGATAGCCACTGAACATCGCTTTTGCGAACGGGCCAAGTCTCACAACCGTGTAGCAGAATCGCTCGTACCGTAGCATTCTAGACTCGTCCCTTGAGAGTGAGGTTCAGTTCACGACGAAGCCACAGGTGACGAAGGTTAGCAAAAGCGACTAGCGTTGGAGACACGCAGAGAGGTCTCATCTATCAAACCGCCAATACTAAGACAACTCCGAAGATAAATGAATTTGTCGACCACTTCCAACAGATGCCCCGAAAGGGTGAGAGAAGGACATGCGCTTGGCCAATCCCGTAATAGGACCTTAAATTTGGAAGGGGCGACGCTCAACTCTAATGGGGCGGCGGACATCTCCAGTCTGAGCAGCATACGCTGGGCGGCTTTGGAGGACTCACAGATCACAGCGATGTCATCGGCGTACTCTAAGTCCCGAAGGCGGTCACCAGTGAGCGGTTCAACACCGCAGGACTCAGAATTATCCAAGGCAGTATCCAGGATCTCGTCCATGGCGAAGTTTAACAGGAATGGCGAGGCTGGGCAACCCTGTTTAACACCACTAGTGATACTGAAAGGGGGCGAAATTTATCCGTATACTCACACGTGGCCCGAAGTTTGATGGTAAATAGCACGGACAATGCCGATGTACTTCTCAGGTACTCTCCACTTCAGTAAGTAGTCCCAAAGAGCCACTGTCAACAGAGTCAAAAGCGGCTCGAATATCCAAGAATATGACTATGGTTGGTCGACTGAACGTATGGCGATGTTCAAGTATCTGGCGGATCGTAAAGATGTAATCGACGCAACTGCGACCGGGGCGAAATCCAGCTTGTTGTTCACGCAGGTGCTGTTACCCTACGCAACTGAGCCTCCGTAAAAGTAGGGCAGCTAACAGTTTGATGTTAATAATAATATGAATAGGTATATTTTCATCGCGTGAGAAACTGTGTCCCTTTTGGGCACAGATCATATTTTACAGAATACGTCATGCTCATGCATACGTGGTGAACAGTTGTGTGCTTTTCATTATCTCTGCTTTTCCATTGGTATATATTTACTCTCAGGTGGGTTTCAACACAATGTGCTCTAGATGTTCCTCTTTTTTGCAGTTATTGCCACTGTACCTGCGTGTGTTTACTACATCTCAGTTCCTTTGATCCGGTTTATCGTTTATCATCCATGCACAAATATGTATTGGCTGTTAACGACGCTCGAACCATGCCAAAAGCCTTTTGCTTGTTTGTTAGTGATTCGATGTGCATGCGGCTTTTTCAGTTGCGTTCGCACCCTCCACAATGGTTCACTGAAACCATAGAAGCGTTGTTAGGCTCGTCTTGTCGCACCAACCGAGTGACCATCCGCACGTCCTGCTACCGCATCACATGGGTGGCCAACATTTTCCGGTGGATTGTACGCCTCCGTCATTGACGTACTTACTCCTTATTCATTCAAAGTATGGACGTAAACCATAAGTAATTTCCACAATTTGCTATGATTGTAAATAACTCCAGGCGCTTAGTTCTTTTGGGCTTTAAATTGACCTTAATGTCTTGACAGTGGCATTTCGTTTTCATTATAGGAAACTCCTCTCGGCCACCTGCTCCCTCCTTCTGCTTTCTGAGAACTACTGCATTTATCCGTATATCATGTCATTGTTGCCAAAAAAAAATGTCGTCCAGGCTAAAGAAGTCCAACAAGATGGAACCTATTATTGATCCCTCTTCCGACCCACTTTCTTCGGCTTTAGTGATGCCGAATAACTTATCATTGTCTCCTCCTG